GGTATGCGCATTCAGAGCCACGCGGGTGTGACGTTACTTCCGGTCTACATGCCCCGGGTTCGTACCCTCCAGGCCAGATCACCTACAGTCTGACCTCCGTGAACCGAACGAACAATCTCCTCCTCCTCCTGCTCCTCCTTCTCCTTCTCCACCTCCTCTTCGTCCTCCTCTTGCCATCACTTCGAGCCTGAAACCACCGGTCCCCTGAATCTTTTATCCGAATTTTCAGGAAACATTGAAACAACGCGCTGTTAACAACACGTGTAAAAAAAAGAGATTTATTGATATTAATGAGATTAGCTCCTGCCGACAGATTTTTTTTTGTTTATGATTAGTTTAAAAATTACATGTTTTTAACATTCTTCATAAATGATTAACAGATCGCTAAAAATTTATCTATGCGTCTAAAATCTATCAATATGTATTATGTCGTCGGTGAGTATATATACGAGTACGTTTACTATAGAGAAGACGCAACTTGCATTCACAATTACGTTCTGACGCGTCATATCGCATTCGCTATTATGATTTATTCAGAATCTATCTCCCTTTTGAATAATAAACAGGACTGTCGAGTCCGAGTCTCGATAAAAATATTTTTTTTTGTGTTATTACCCCTATTTAACAGGGAGATCAAGTAGCATAAAGTAAATGTAAAATTAATTAAAAAACATTATTTTACGACATGAAATATTTAAATTAATATTATATGCTATACACACAAACTCATCATCATCGATAATAATATTTCATACAGCAATATTATAGATACAAAAATAATATAAAATACTTTCTATAAATTATTTTTTCTTTTTGTACATTTTTGCACATACTTATTTTGTATATATTTTCTTATATTCTATATACGCAAGGGATTTTGTTTATACTGAAAAAAATGATTTATCTACAATACAATATCAAAAAAATTATAACAAAGAATGACTAGACTCTTTCGATAAATTTATTGAGTTCCGGTAATTTCTTATCCTGTTTCGTGTGATAAATCCAGTCATAAAGATGATTAGATTTATCACACGAAACGGAAAATTATCATTTTTTAACAATAGATATTTCCAAAAATCCTTTCTTTCAAAACGTTTAAAGTTTATATCTCGTATGATATAACAAATCAATTATTCCCAAATCATCCAATCGCCATCGCTCGAAATTGCCAGTCAGATCTTAAAGTGGCATTTGCTCTTTAGAGAAATCGAATTTTTTGACATGCTGTCGCCGATATCGTAGCGACAGGTGCTAAATATACGATTGACAGGTATTAACGATGCGGAATATCTAATCTTGCGATTTAATGTCTAAATCGATGAAAATGATGAAAAGAGGAAGGAGAAATAGAAAATTTATTATGTATGCAGTGATCAACCGGTAACAGAGAGAATATTATATGTGCAGCGTGCGCGTACATGTAAGCGTGGACTGGTGTTCGAATGCGAGGCGAGAAAGAGAGTGTAAAGTCTGCTAACAACGCTTACGAGAAATAACTTGGACAAATATCGGTACGATCCTCAAACATCGGCGGCCGCTTTGAACGTTCCGTGCCGTACCGTGCCGTACCGTGCCGTTAGACACTCTTGTCGCCTCTGCTCGCTCACTTTTTCTCCTATATTTATATTCTATCCAACGCGAAAGATGTCAATTCATTTTGTACTTTATCGATTCCGCGAATAGCATCGCCCACCACGCGGCCCTATCTATTTTCGAATTTGTCACCCTTCTCACGCGCTAAAAATCCCACATATTTACATCGATGTCGAAGAAATCTCTGCCTCATCACGCTTTATCCATTTTTCATTACACTTTTGTCATTACGCGCGAATGTTTTATTTTCGGAAGAAAAGATTCATTTTCTTTGAAAATATTTTTATAAAAAAATTAGGAAAGATCGTCGTTGTTATTTGTCGGTGAGGTTACTTCCGGTCTACTGAACCCGAGTTATATACTCTCCAGGTCACATCACTTATAGTCTGATCTCCATGAAGTGAATTTCCTCTTCCTCCTCCTCCTCCTCCTCCTCTTTTGATTCAATAGGATTGATCATTTTTATATCATTCCATTTTTTTTCATTTAGCTCTAGCTTGATATATCTTTTTCTGAATAATGTGTGTGATATATAATTCACACCGCAGTTTTTTTTCATCTTTTTATACTTTTTCTTTTCGCATTGCAAAGAAATGCGTGTTTATAATATCAAACAGTCAACTGTCTCAATGTACAAATGTACATGTATTCTAAAAAAAATAGGAAAAAGATTAATTTTAAATTTGAGCCTCGTGTCGCCTTATGCCATTTTTTTCGGGACACCCTGTGTATTTCAAGCGTGGGGATCTTTACGAGGCTAGACCCCGAATCTCTCGAATATCTTACTCACGTCGTTAGTGTTAAAGGACGAGTGTTAGGTTACGAGATTGTGCGAGGCGAAGCTATATACATTAGCGAGTCGCTACGTCGGTAAACTCCTGTTTGCATTATGAGCCCAACTGTACTTTTACGCAGCGAGATACCGCGAAACAATGCAAGACACGCGTGCAAATATGGGCGCGCACCTCAAATGGGACATTCCGATGTTTCTCGGTACTGCTTCCACCAAAGATGGTCGGCTGGGCTCCGGCTAACGATCGCGTCTCACAAATGACGAAGTACATCCGATAATTCCTAGCTGTCCTAACGAGCTGGTTCTCAGATAATAGCCGTCTACGGGCAATCAAACTGGTAGAAAAAAACTTTGAGCTTTCAGGAGTCCATTATGGAAATTCAGAAGTAAAGTCTAGCAGTAATTTCGTAATGGGCTTACAGAATCAGAAGAGAGAGTTATGTTACCCTCCCGTAGAAACATCGGCAGTTCTGTCTATGATTTAGTAGAAGTAAGACGATTGATTTTTCAGCATTTTTCCAATTGATAACGACAAAGAAAGATTATGATAAATTCATGATAAACACCTTCGAGGGTACAACCCCAAGATAGGAAGATTAAAAGATAAAATCCGCCCTCTCATTTTTGTTTTTTTTTTTCTTTTTCCAGACCCGAGGCAATGGTCGGAAGCAGCTGTTGCCCACTGGTTGCACTGGGCTATCGGGGAATTCTCGCTGGAGGGTGTGGCAATGCAGCCGTGGCAGCACATGACCGGGAAACAGATTTGTGCCATGGGGAAGGAATCCTTTCTAGCACGTGCCCCCGCCTTCATGGGCGACATCCTGTGGGAGCATCTCGAGATCCTGCAGAAAGGTGCGTGTCCCTCATACAAAACGGTGGTCCATCAGTTTATCTCGAAACAAACAGCGCCTTTTACCTCCGACGAATTCACAAAAATATGATAATTGTCTTATCTCTCGATGCTTAGAACATCTTTATTAAGCGCGACGCATAAAATCTCTCAGTTCGTCTCGAAATTCGTGTGAGGAAAACTCGATAAAACGGATTATTTAATTTAAAAGTTTATGATATTGCAATATAAAAAGATCTTTTCTCGTTTCGAATTCGGTGTATCTGAATATACATTATAGTTCACGCACTGCCGACTATTACGTGATATTACGTGATAATTACACATAATGATATGATTGGAACGGCTGCTGATAATTGATTGTGTCGTAACTCAATTCCGATAACTGTTATTTTGCCTAGACTGCGCGAACAGTTTTCCAATCGCTTTTACTCTGCTATCGCTAACGTAAAATTTCCAATAACGATATCACAGCGTACAGTCAAACTAAAATTTTTAAGAGATGATACAAATAATTGATTTTTCTATTATACAAAAAGATATATTTTTATTAAAGATCGCTACATTTATTGAAAATAAATTTTTAATATCTTTCGTATATCTTTTTGTATAACAGAAAAATATGCGAAACGCGAAAAAAGCGTTTTATTTATATTAAAAATAAATGTAGCGATCGATTTTGTTTCTGTACCTGGGTATTCGCCCCCGATGACCCCGTGTCGCAAATCGGAGGGTTAATCGCGCAAGAAATACTCGCCGCGCGCTCCGCCCTTTTTGCGGCGAGCACCGTCCGTCGTCGATCGACAAAACCGATCGAATTTCCGTAAAATCGCGATGTCACACGGTGTAACGCACGGGCAAAAGGAATCTGACGAACAATGACGAGAGCGACGGGGCGGTACACGCGGATGGTGAACGTCTCTCTTCTTTTTCTTTTGCTGCTCCTTCTTCTTCTCCTCCCTCTCCTTCTTCCATATCTCTCATTTCATGGCGATCCCCTCCCCCTCCCGTCCCTCCCCGGTTTTTACCTCGCACGCAGCGCGAAAAGAATGAAAAGGAGGAGAAGAAAGACAGAGCACCATAGAAACTCTCGGCCCGGATATCCGCCGAAATGGTGCAACGCCATTGCCGCGGCCACTTAGACGCTTTTTAGGGGATGTACTCGCGTGCACCAAAGAATTCACTCGAATTTCGATCTCGCGCACCGTCAATGGCCGAGCCTCGAGTCTCGGTTGGTCTTCTCCTATTAGATCCTCCCTCCTCTCCCGTGCCCTTTTATGGTGCGTGCGCTCAAAACAGCAAGTCAAGTTCGCTATAAATGTGCGTTCGATCTTTTTAGACTTAACAAAAAGCAGAGAAAATTCAAAGGAAAAGGAATATCTACACTTTTGTGAGTAGGATAGACCGGAGCAAGTATGGAGAAAAATGGATAGGATGGTACAAGTGGAAAAAGACACAAGAGAAATTTTAGCTATAGATATAATTTTATCATAAATTTTACAAATGTTTACAAAATTTATGTATCCATTTATTTGTACTTCTTATTTATTATCTTATTTATCGCTCATATTTTAATTGTCGTTTCACCACTTGATCTAGCCTATCTCTATCCTATCTTTTTTATCATCAATTAATTATTTCATATTTGTACTATTATTATGATTTCGGATGATACGAGGGTATTAATTATTCGACTGATAACAAAAACGAGAAATGTCTCCATTTGTTATAAAATTTATATTAAATTGTATTATATTTATATTAATTACATTATGTATTATATTGAAAGATACTAGAAGGGATGAATAAAGGAAGAGACTTAGGAAGAGATAGGAATACAGATGGAGGAAGAGGGAGCTAAATAGATCTAGGTAGATAAAAGCAGATCGTACGAAACGATGAGGCAGGAAGCGGAGGTTCGCTCGTGATTTAACTCCCGTTAAGTAAAACCCCATACTTCCTTATCGATTATTCATGTCGCCTCATCATTGGCACTGAAACCTCGGTTTAATCGACTAGCGCGATCTAAGGACGATTACTAACGGTAACCCACCACAAAACTCGAGATTCGTCTCGAATACGTAATCTCTCTCTCTCTCGTGTCGAAAGGGAGCGTGTAAATAATCGCGAGTGAAGTAGAATTCTTAATGTTGAGCTCGGCACGTTGCGACGTAGCTTAATAGCCATGTGTTACTTAACGAACGACTATTTATATATTATTCCTAGTGACAAAGTGTCACTTTTTATAAAATAACAGGATGTTTCGTAAGTCGAGGTTAATCACTCGGAAGATGAACGGAGACTCAAAAATAAGAAGGAAAGATGATATGAACATAGGTCCGAAAATGCGTTGTTTTCGAGTAGTCACCATTTTTACGTTGAAATTTGAAACTGCTTTACCTTCGAATTTTTTTCAAAATTGAAAGAAGAGAAGGCCTTTGTGAATTTTATAATTAAAATCAAGTAAAAGTTGCGGACTGCTTTAGCATTACTCGAGATGCACAATTGTGGAACCTGATCTCCGGTAAGAGATGCTAAGTGGGCTTCACGTGGTGCATACTGTGTTAAAGTAGCTCGTGGATTTTTATTTAATTTTAATTATAAAAGTCCAGTAGAGATCATCTCCCCTTCTAATTTTGACAAAAAAATTCGAGAGTAAAGCAATTAGATATTTCAACATAAAAAACAGCGACAACTCGAAAACAATGCATTTCCGGATCTATGTTTATACCAACTCCTTTTCCTTGTTTTTAATTTCCAAATCATCTCCCGAGCGATGATTTGACTTCCGCTTTTGAAACACCCGCACAAGTCGTAAATAAATGCCAATACAAACTTCACTGGAAATTATGAGAAATTTTTAAACTTTCTTCGAAATTTTTAAAGTGAAATTTCTAATTAAACTTTTTGCAAACAATCGCATCTCTTAAATTGCGCAATTAATACTCCGTGTATCTCATCACGTTGGAAATGAAGGGGGAAGAGAGAGAGAGAGAGAGAGAGAGAGAGAGAGAGAGAGACCGAAGTGCGCGATTTTGCGGACGGTAGGAGCGGCAGGGAAAGGAAACGAATAAAAGCGTCGTCGTCGTCGTACTTTCCACATTCCAACCGCACGATTTATTATTGTGCTACGATTGTGAACGATGTTGTGTCGGTTGTGCCGCGCCGCGTGATCCCTCTGACCGAGGCGACGGTAATTTAACTGAAGCCTAGCGTGCACCCGACGCAGCTCGCAGCTCGCGACACGACGTGGGTAATCGCTTTGATTCCGCGAATGAGAACGGATGTTAGGAAACGCTCTTGCGTTGTATAAAAAAGTAGAAACTAAAAAGTTGGTATCTTCCTGTCGCGGCGATACCGATCGGATTCACGGTGAAATTCATTAATGCGATGCGTTTCGCCATCGTCGAAACGAATGATCGACCCCTTTTGTAATGTCATATCGAATGGAAACATGGATTAATCGAACAAACTTTTTTGTCGCTGCTTGAATCTTGGTTGAATAATTACGCGGTAAAAATCTTTTTTCTTTTTTATAGGATCCACGTGTCGTTTGTTTCGCAAAAGTTTAACGTTAAACGTTATTCTCCTGCGATAACAAAAGTATACATTTTATTTCTTATTTGGAGCCAGAAATGTGCAAATTATTCAAATACGAATCGAATTAAATCAGATGAAATTTTATTTGATTCAAATCCGAATCTCAATAGTTTGAATCCGAGTTATTAAAAAAATTTTAATAAAGGAGAATGCGAATCGCAAATATTGGCTCTTATAAAATTATATTTTATTACTTTTGTGAATTTAACTTCACGATAATTATGTTAATTGAAAGTTATATTTTGATTCTATTCCGTTTAATTTGATTTGATTTAATTTAATTTGGCGACAAAAATCCTTGCTTTGCACATCTATATTTGGAACATTGTTGTGAGAAAACTTGAAAAAAATTGTTTTCAGTGAAGAAACAAAAATAAAATGCGATTCCTAAATCGATTTCTAAGCGATTTACTTATTTAAGAGAAATTTAAATAGTAATCTTAAATAATTTTCTTTAATATGAATTAATTTCTTTTGGTCGCGATATTTTTTTGAAAATTATTTAATATTTGAGAAATTGACTTTTGTAGATTCCTGTCGTGAAGTTCATGAAGTTTATCTCAGTTTTCTTCTCAATCTCTCGCACACAATCGACATATTGACACACAATCGAAAATGTGTGAACAGAGAACCAAAAAAAAAGAGAACTAAGAGCGTAAAAAGCGAAAAAAGTTCAGCAAAGATTATTTGCATATTAAAAGCGAAGAACCTGTATGAACCTGGAAAAGGAGAACGAGTTCTTGGCACATCGAGTTTTGCATTTCGAGTCTACAATTGTTCCACGAGAATTGCTAGAAACGTAGAAACGTTGCCGGCGATGAATCACGGCAATGGCGAACGTCTCCTTCGCAATACGATGTCGGTCGTGATGATGATAGTGCTACTCCAGATCGTTAATTACGATTGCAATTGCGACGCGCGGAACAATCATACTTACGGAGAATCACTTAATGGCGGCGATGCAATATTTTATTCCTGTAATAATCAACATGTGTTGAAAAACTACCGGGGCGCACATGCTGCTGCGATAACCGTTATCATGCCGAAGATAAGGGGCTTAATTATTACGATTAACATGCTCACCATCCATATATGGGACCATTCATGTATGCACGATGCGCATATGTTTCGTGGACGGGGAACAATGCATATGGGTAGAGCTCCTTCCCTTTTTTATCTCCAACAATGCTCTTGTGTAGTTAACATTTTCATCAAGACTCTGAAACGTATATAAACGAAATCTAGTAAGTTTTATTTAAAAAAATATTACGGATTTAATCTAACTTTGCGATAGTTATATCATCGTAGACAACAATTAAAATTAACATTAATGAATATTTTAATTTAATCTCCGTTTTACATTTATAAAAATTTTACGAGGAATAATATTATAGTAATCACGGTCGAGAGAACAATTATGCAAGATGACAATATTTTTTTTCTCTTTTTGCGTTACGTAACGTAGAAACGTGCCAAAGATCTTTCTTCAAGTATGAGCTTCAGTCAACACAGGTTGTTAACGTTAACGAGCATCATGGTGAATGATTTCGTTTTACCGTGATGAAGAACCTCGCGAGTGGTAATGTTCATAATTCTTAGGCGGATTTAAATGACTCCATGATAGATAGGAATGACGGAGGTGGCGCGATCTAATTAAGACCGTCTCGCGAAGACCAAGTCGCGAATGAACAAACGTGCAGCTCGGTGTTGAGGATTTATCTCCGTTTTACATTCAGATGTCGACGCAGCGAAGGCCTCTCTGGAGAACGTGCCGGCGAACTTGTATGAAAGCGTGTGCGTGCCAGATTTAGGTGATTTTTTGGGATACCAGGGTGGCGGCCATCAGGTGGCAACACCAGAGCATAAAAATCCGCCGACGCCCGCCAATTCGGCCACCTCCAACTCCTCCGGTCCTCCTCAGAGCGGTACGCAACAACAACCCCCGATACAACCCTCTTCGGGCGCGGTGTCCCTGCCATCGAGACAGTATCATAACGATGGTAAGTCCACTTTTACTATTCCTGTCCGCTTTCCTCCGTCGAGATTTAGTCTCGGACTTACTGATATAGGAATTCCATAAGTAACATCTCGCGCCAGAGAATACCGAGTAGGAGATTTCTGTCAACTGATTCACCTTTTTTTATCTTTGAATTTATTCGCGAGTAAACTCGCGAGAGATCTCCTCTATTTAAAATATCGAGAATGATATGTCTTTAAAAGAAATAAATAAAAAATTATATTCACATAGAAAATTTCCTAAAATTTAACGACTGGGAAATTTGCAAAGGCTCTATACAAAATTTCTAAAAAAATTGTTCAATTGTGAAACTTTTTAAACACGTGTGATTTTAATTTATTTTATTTATTATTTGTTTATATCGATTAATATATAATTTTTATTTTTTATTATGTAGTATTTAATATTTGATACTTGAATTTTGAAATGATTTTTTAAATTGATATATTTAAAAATAAAATTTCTCAATCGATTTTATATATCAATTTTAACTGTAAAAAGAAACTCCCGCAGTGAACTATGTTTATTTGGGAGAAATTGAGACATTCTCTGAAACCGAAATTAAATAGGAAAATTTTGAGAAAAATCTCTATGTGAGTTATATATCAATTTCTCTTTATAAATACACGCACATAAGAGTGTTATCATCGACGATAGCGCCTCGATGATCACAGCGAGCCTTGCTTCCGACAACCCCGC